TTTTTTTTTTTTAAGATTTTATTTATTTATTTGACAGCAAGAGAGGGAACACAAGCAGGGGGGAGTGGGAGACGGAGAAGCAGGCTTTCGCGGAGCAGGGAGCCTGATGTGGGGCTCGATCCCAGGACCCTGGGATCATGACCCGAGCCGAAGGCAGACGCTCAACGACTTAGCCACCCAGGTGCTTTCCCTAGCTTCTAGAGACTGCCCACATTCCTTTCTCGGGATGCCCTTGTCCATCTTCAAGCCAGCAATGGCAGGCTGAGTCCTGTATGTTTGCACTCTGAGCTGTTCTTTGCTTCTCTTCGCTCCTTGGAAGGACTCAAGCAGCTAGAAATCATCTGTGTCGCTACACTCTACTCTTCTATCTGTAAAGTCTCTTGGCGTGTGAGATAATATATCCATAGGTTCTGGGGGTCAGGATGAGGGTGTCTGTGGGGGTCATTCTACCACAGTCTACCCTCTTGCTCCCAGGGAGCCAGGCCCATCCCATATGCAAAGTAGATTGACCCCATCCCAGGGTCCCCAAAGTTTCCATCACAGTGTCAACTGAAAGTCCAACATTTTGCCCAAATCTCAACTCAGAAAGTCCCGAGTCTCCTCATTTAAGTTAGATATGGGTAAGGCTCTATTATAATCCATCTGGGACACCGTTGTTCCCCATATTTAGAACTGTTAGGCACGGGTTAGAAACTTACCAAATTTATCTGGCCAAGAATAAATGAACCTAGGATTTGACCCCAAGCAACTTCCTTTAGAACTCGTTCTCTTTATACTTAGGTCTTTCAGGTAAGAGTAATCTGGGCTACATCCAATTTTTGTGTTTCCTACTGTATCAAAAGAAAAAAGATGGTAAATGTTTTATATATATGGTATACGTGTTTAATAGATAGTAGTTTTAACACACAGCGTGTGGCAGATAATGGCCAAATCTAAATTTGAGGATCGTTATGCATCTGAGGCTCAGTCAAAAAGGCCACTCTGGCATCTGTGGCCAGCGTGGGCGTCCTGCCCACCCTGCTCTCTGAGGTTTGCCAAGTTGTCTGTCGTCCACGACCATTAAGAAGGAGCAGACATGCTTCTCCTCCAGGAGCTCTAAGTTCTCTTGGCTCGATGAGGTGTTGACACAGATGGTGAGGCAGTGAAGCCATCAAGGGCCCAAAAGGATTTTGTAGGAAAAGAAGGAACACTGAGGGCTGGAATCGTGCTGGTTGCTGAAAGATGAATGGGATAAAAGAGGGTAAGGACTTTAGTGTTGAAGAGAAAGAGGAAGGAGCCCCGTGTGAGAAGTCCATGAAAGGCAGGGCTGGCCGTTGGGCCCGTGGACGCCCTCAGCATTCAGGACTTCCCATCTCCTTGGCAGCTTGAGGTGCTGCATGGCCTGTGCCCTCTGCCCAGTGTGCCCTTGTCCCCACTCTTTCCATGGCCGCCTCTTCTTGGCCTTCAGGAGTCAGCTCGAGTGTTATACCCAGAAAGGAATTCCCCAACCACCTTATAGAAAAGCAAACATCCGGCCACTCTCCGTCCGATTTCACTGAAGCAGGTAGGAGTATCTGAAAAGGGTCCTACCTCTTTTCACTCCTTAATTGTCTAAATCTTACCAATAGGATGGGAGCCCCGTAGGGCGGAGACATTGTTTCATTCACAGCCTTCTCCTGAGCACTTAGACCTGAACAGAGCAGGTCCTCGGTACCTATTTATGAAGTGAATGAGAAAAGCTCTCAATCTCCTCATGTGACAATTCTGCACTCATGTACCCTTGTGCTATGGTCCTTTTCCCTTGTTACCAAATCACATGTGTCATAATATTTTATATTAAGTATGGAAATTCTGAGGATCATGTTTTTAAGCCAGAGACTTCTTTCTTTCATTGGGCCCATGTCAGTGGCTTGTCTTTTGGTGTGGGTTCATCGATCACGTATGTAGACAAACCAGTTGATGAAGGAAGAGCTTTTAAATGTGTTTCGTGGGAGGGGACAGCATTAATGATTCCATTTAGCAATGATGCTTAAGCCTTTTTTTTTTTTTTTTTTTTACTGGCTCAAAGAGCCCTTTGAAAATCGGAATGCTCAAGTTCAAGGCCAGCACACCACAAATTGGCATACAATTTCAGAAAAGACTTCTGGACCCCCCCAAGGTCCCTGGGAGCCCCAGTTAACCCTGTCTTATGTGAGCCAAAGCACATGGACAGTGGTGGCTGTTTCAGGTCATTTTTGGAGCGGGGAGGGCGTTAGCAAGCTAGGCTACTAGTTAACCTTTTAAAAGTTACAAAGGGGTTTCCAGGAAACATCAGAAACTGGTGCTACCTTGTCCCAGGCACGTCCACCTATTTCACAAGGTCTGTTCTCTGTGTTTCTAACAACACGAAAGACACTTCAGACTTTCACAACTTTACTGATCCAGTTGCTAGATGTGTCCTTTAGAAAGTGTGTATGGGAAAATAATACATAAATAAAATTTTTTTAAAAATTAAAAAGGGATATAGGATAGTGAAAGAAAACAGACACAAAACAAATATTGTATGATTTCACAGTTATGCAAGGTACCTAGACTAGGCCAATTCATAGAGACAGAAAGTAGACCAAAGATTCCAGGGGAAGGGAGGCGGGGGGAGGGAGAGTTAGTGTTTCATGGGTGTAGAGTTGGAGGTCACGAAAATGATTTGAGTGTAGATAGTGGTGATGGGTATACAACATTGTGAATGTTGTATCTGGTGTTACTAAATTGCACATTTGTGAATGGTTAAAATGATAAATATTATATATATTTTTCCATAATTCAGAATATTTTTCCCGGCAAAACTTATAAAATGCCCCATCATGAAATAGGGGAAGGGGAGTAAGAGTATACTTATCATGAAACAGAACAGATGAACATAGGGGAAGGGGGAAAAGCAGAAAAAGAGAGGAAGGCAAACCAAAAGAGACTCTTGACTGTAGAGAACAAACTGAGGGGTGATGGAGGGAGGAGGGTAGGGGGATGGGCTAGATGGGGGATGGGCATTAAGGAGGACACTTATGATGAGCACTGGGTGTTGTATGTAAGTGATGAATCACTAAAGTCTCCTGAAATCTGTACCACACGGTATGTCAACTAACTA